GGAAATGTATTAGTCCATTTCCATTGCTTAAACAAAATACCTGGAACTGGGTGATTTGCAGGAAAATGAAATTTACTGCTTGCATATTTAAAAGCTGTAGAGTCAAAAGTCCAGGGAACATAGCTGGTGAAGGCCTTGATGGAGATGACCGTGACCCAGGGATCTCATTTGGCAGAAAACGGGCAGGGCAGAGAGAGGTCAACCTCTCATATGTTCTTCTTTTAAAGCCCTCAGAAACCCATACCCTGCCCATCATTATTAACCAATTATGGAATGGTGCTACAATCTAATCACATCATTAAGGACCCATCTCTCAATTACCATAATAGGATTTCCCACCATCTTAACACTATCACAGTGGGGGTCAAGTTTTGGGGGGACATTCAGTCCAAGGCAGGGAAACATCAAAACTTCAATGTTACCTGAAGCCATCAGAATGAGTGAGCAAACCTAAGAGATTCCAAGTAAAAACAAAACAAAACAAAAGAACAAGGACAGAGTCTGCAGAAGCACTTTATCTTTAAACATGAGATAGAGGAAAATAATCAGAATGTGAAGAACAAAAAGAAATTTTCTAATTTTATTACACAATTAAAGGAAAGCTCAGTATTAAGAAGTCTACCAATATAATTCATCATATATATACATGATATATGAAACAGACCAAGTACAGAAATATATCCAACATATTCATAGTTCTATGAGCGAAGATCCTTTAAATAATTATATAAATTTTAAAAAGATATACGGCAGGCAGGCAACTGGCCAGGATAGGGATCAAACTGTGGTCCTTGAGAATATTGGCACCAAACTCTTACCAACTTGGTAGACTGAACATAGCTGAGAGAAAAAAAAAATCTCTGGGTTTGAGGATAGATCAAAGAAATTAAGAACTGAAAAGCATACACACACAGGAAAAACACAAAAAAAAACCCCCAAACATCTGAAGAGTGCTGGACAATGTCAAAAGTTGTAACACAGAGTAATGAGAAAACCAGCAGAAGACAGAGAGAAAAAAAAAAAAAAACAGAAGAAACACTTAAAACAGTAAGGTCTGAGAACTTCCACAAGTTAATATCAAGCACCAAACCAAAGATCAAGGTAGTTAAGATAACATAAAAACAGATAAATGCCAAAAATCTACATCTAGGCATGTAGTTTGCAAACTTCAGAAAATCAAAAAGAATGAAAAACCTGAGTGAAGACAGAGGGAAGAAAAAATATCTTACCAAAAAAGAAACAAGATAAGAATTGCACCCAATATCTCCTGAGAATCCATGTGAGGATAGAGTACAGTGAAATATTCAAATGGTTGGTTAAAGAAACCTACAACCTAGAGTCCTGTGCACTATGAAACGTTAAAAAGAAGAAAAAATAAAGACTTTCTCAGGCAAACAAAAATTGAGAGAATTTGTTGCCAGTACACCTGTATTGCAAGCAATGTGAAACAAACAAACAAACAAAAACCCGAAAAAAGCTTACAGAGAAGATAAAATATATACGTTAGAATCTGGATATACATAAAGAGAACTAAAGAAATACCCGAAAAAAGCTTACAGGGAAGATAAAATATATACGTTAGAATCTGGATATACATAAAGAGAACTAAAGAAATAAGTGAAGGTTCAATAAAAAGTTTTGTTAATTAAGTTTTTTTTCATTGCAACATAGATGATTGTACATATCTTTGAGGTAAAGCATTGGATATCAATATGTGTGCAATATGTGATGTTCAAATCAGGATAACTAGTATATTCTTCATTATACAGTGTAATTGATTTTTGTGACCCTTTACAAATACCTCCCTTCCACCATCCTCCTGAGCATTTCCTCCCTCTAGTAACTTCAGCTGTTTTCATCTACTTTTGAAGTTCAATGCAACACTGTGTCTGTTGTACATTTCTTTAACTTCCTTAAAATTAATTGTTTATTTTCTTAGCTGCCATATATAGGTGAGGACATGCAATTCTTCCTGTGTCTGGCTTATTTTATTTAACATATTTTTTTCTAAGTTTATCCATGTTTCTGTGAATGGCAAAATTTCATTCTTTTTAAAGGCATAGTATTCCACTGTTTAAATATACCACATTTTCCTTATCCAGTTATCCAATAATGGACATTTAGGTTGGTTCCAACACTTGCCTACTGTAAATAGGGCTGCAATAAACATGGGAGTACAGGTGTCCCTTCTACATGATTATTTCCAGTCCTTTGAGTATATACCCAGCAGTGGGATTGCTGAGTCATATGGCAGTTCTATCTGTAGTAGCTTGAGGAACCTCCACATGATTTTTGATAATGGCCGCACCAATTTACAGTCCCACCAACAGTATAGGAGGGTTCCTCTTTCTCCACATTCTCTCCAGCATTTGTTATTCTCTGCCTTTTTGATAGTAGCCAGTCTAACTGTAATGTGATATTTCAATGTGGCTTTGATTTGCACTTCCTACATGCTGAGTGATGTTAGCATTTTCTCCTATATCTGTTGGCCATTTGTATATCTTCCTTTTGGAAATGCCTATTCAGCTACTTTGCCCATTCTAAAAATCAGACTATTTGTTAT